TTTTAATGGCTGAGTAATATTCCATGGTGTATATGTACCACAGCTTCCTCATCCATTCGTCTGCTGATGGGCATCTAGGTTGCTTCCATGTCCTGGCTATTATAAAGTTAGGCCATGGTTTTAATGTAAGCTTGTGATCCTTATTTGCTTTAAGTTTTAGTTGCCTTAACCTACCTCTGAGCTGAGCCCTGCGTGGAAGAGTTCAAGTTGTTCAGCCCCTTTTGGAACTTTCTACTAGATTGATGCTGTTTTATGGGTCTCAAGATGCGATCCCTGTTGATTTTCAAAAGTAGATTTTTTTGGAGGCCAGTTCCATTTGTAAAATCTCAGGTGTTAAACACAAAAGAGATGGGGCTCATCTCTCAAGTGCGTATCTTAAAATTTGGCATGCCTGTTGTGGGGTTTGAGCCCTTCACTCCTCAGGGAGAAGCTCTGGTTTTGAGTTCCCTACAAGTTGTAGTTCATTGCAGTGTAGATTGGTTTTATCTTGTGCCACATTTGATGATATTTTGTGCCAGCCCGTCTTGCTGCTTTGATGTGATTTTCTTCTCATTTGCCAGATATATAATCATCATTCAGCCAACCTTTAGGTTTTTTTAAAGAGGAAGTCTTTGCATATGTAATTGTTGACTGTCTCCATGGGAGAAGGTGAGTTCAGGATCTTCCTATGTTGCCATCTTGAACTAGAACCTATACCTCCCCTCTTCATGTATGAATATATCCTACACATCTTTTTATATCAGTCATAGATAACTTTGTTTTATATCCATGGCTTCCACTGACTTTGAGAGCCATTTAATAATAGTGGTTTCCATGGATCTATTGCCAGTCTGCCTACATATAGGCCATGGATCTGCTGCTGGAAAAGCCCTTTACAAGTTGCTAAATCTCTTAAGTGTCTCAAGTTTCTCATCTGTAAATGGGAGAAAAATTGTATTCTGAATAAGGTTGCTGTGAAATTTAAGCACTTTTTAGTACATTGCCTAGTTGGTAGTGAGCAGCCAAATGTTGCCTGCCACCATTGTCATTAATCATCACCATTTTTACTTAGTCAGATTATTATTTACAGAGAAATGGGGTGTTTACCTTTTTCATTGTTGCAAACTGTGCTTCACGGCATAACCTTGTGTGTTCATTATTTTGCACACGTGATTTTATGAATACTTTGCAACAAGTACAATGTCAAGGCAAAAAGGAATATAAATTTGTAATTTTTATAGACAATTTCAAATCACATCCCACAGGAATTATATCAGTTTTTGCTGTCATCAGAGTTTGACATAGTTTAAATGATCATGAATTTGCAGGTAGATTTCTATGTTACTTCTGTTTCTAAATTGTTCATAGTTTAAAATGACAATTTTTAAAGTTCTTCCTTTTTCTTTATTAAAACTACAATCCTGTCTGGAGAGCCTGCTGAAACAACCTTTCATAAAATATGTATATTGGTGGCTTATTCTTTTAGGATTCTCATAGGTAACTTGTTAGTATTTAAGGGCTTAGAAGATGATCATTACTCTTTTATATTCTATATTTTCGTATAGTTTTGTTTCCATAAATCTGAATTTTTTCAGATTCATTTACCTTTACTCTCCATAATCTTAGGACAGTCTATTAGGAATATTCATATTTAAGAACCAAGAATCCAAAAATGAACTGAGGTTAGCTTTTTAATGTATTTTGAAAAAGTCTTTAATTAGGGCAATATTCTTCATTGTTATTATCAAAGAAAACTTAATGGGACAGAGGAACTTAAGATGTCAGAAAGTTTTCAAAGCTCATGGAGAAATTAAAAGATCAGTAAATAGTGGTCCCTGCTATACTTTTTTGTATTGGGTGAGCTAGATGTGGGCCGTTTCCAGGCTAGAAAATTTAAAAATGGACAAAGAATGCTTGAATGGAGCTTTAGAAAATACCTGTATTTACTCATGTTAAATGCCTAAAAGTAAGTGAAAGAAATCAACACAAATCAACAGAAAATATAGTACAAATATATAGTGCTATAGGAACCAATGAAATAAACAAACGCTTTAAATAGAATAGATAGATTATTACTAAAATTGTTTGATGTAGCAGTTCAGAGATAACTGGTGTGAGGAAGCAGTTTCAGTAGGATTGTGGGACTCAGTTGGAGAAGAATGAATAGGAGGAAAATAAGTAAATAAGGTAATCTTTGGCACAGTCATTATGGCAGCAAAAGGAATTTCTTTCTTAAAAATTATTAGTGCAAAGCTTCTGTTCATTTAAAAAAGTATGACTTTTAAACATCTGATTTTATTTTGTTAGTAATTGTTTTTTGTATATTATAGTCATCTTTAAAGTTTTTTATATTGCTTTTAATACTGGTTGCTGTTTTGTTGCCTTTCCTTTCACCACATTAATTGATGCCATGAAATAGTCCTCCCTTTATGAATTAACGTACCTATTTTATTGAAAGTATATTTAAAACTCCACTCTATGTGATAACTGCCTTGTCAATTATGGAAATTGAGTAGTTGAGCATTATTTACATTGGAAATATTTTAACAGTGTTATGTGCAACTCATTACTGAAGAAGTAGGATTAGCTTTGTCCTTTTCCTTAAATTTTTAAAGAATCAACTTTACCAAGATCTAACTCCCGTGCATTAAAAGTCACCAGAGTATATAGATAGATAGCTTTTGACAAATGCATACGGCCTTATGATGACACTCTGTTCAAGATCTAAAATATTTCCACCCCCCTAAGAACAGTTGTTCTCATGTTTAATAATTTTGACATCTAATTTTATTTCTTTTGCTTTGTAAGTACAGATGAATGTAATTTTACTTATCAAATGTTGTTGTTGTTGTTCAGTTGCTAAGTCATATCCCACTCTTTGTGACTCCATGAATTGCAGTACGCCAGACTTCTCTGTTCTTCACTACCTCCTTGAGTTTGCTCAGATTCACGTCCATTGAGTCAGTGATGCCATCCAGCCATCTCATCCTCTGTCGCTCCCTTCTTTTCCTGCCCTCAATCTTTCCCAGCATCAGGGTCTTTTCCAGTTAGTCAGCTCTTCGCATCAGGTGGCCAAAGTATTAAAGCTTTAGCTTTAGCATAAGTCCTTCCACTTATCAAGAGTACCATGAATTAACTCCTGAAATGACTTGCTTTTTGTCTATGGAAATGTATTTCTGATTGATGCAATATTTCATGACCCATGCAAAGTTAAATATAAACAATTTTATTTAATTGAGTGATTTTTAAGAATATCTAACAAAGTTGTTTTTATTTGATCTCACTTACCAATTTAGCACATTTCTTGTTTATTTGATTTTAAAATCCTCTGAAAATACAGACTGTTCTATAGTACATAAACAGCCTATTTTCAACACTGTTGAATACTCTCTGCATTACTGTTTTTCTCATAAAATTTTAAATCACAGTATAAATTTTCTTATTTTTTTGTGGAAATTGCATATTTCCAAAAACTATTGGAAGTTTTAAAGAACTTTCAAGAGGAAGAGCTATTTAAAAACATTTTTCCTTTTTATTCTCCTTCCAACCTGTCATCTCTACAGTTGAATATTTGGAATACCTATTGAAAATTAAAGAGAGCTATGTATCATTAAATAAAATGTGCTGTAAAATGGTTCTGATTTAAAGATAGGGCAAATATAATTTTTCTCATTTTAAGATTAGTAAAAATTAAGTTAAATAAGAGCTAGATATGCCTCTGTAGTTTTTTTAGGACTCTGATTCTAGATCATGCTTTGACTTTATGGTTATTCATTGCTCCATGCTGTTTCATACAGTACATCTCAAGAGACTCTTCCTGCCTCCATTCCTAATTGTGACTTCAGTTAGAGCTGATATTAATCACTTGCAAGGAGCCTGTCAGAAATTAAAACTTAATTATTTTCCTACTGTTTATTGAGTATTATTCTTGTGATTTTTAACTTGAATATTTTACATTTATGCAGTTTGAAACTGAACCTCATTTAATTATTGAGCTTCCCAGGTGGCTCAGTAGTAAGGAATCCACTCCTGCCAATGCGGGAGATTCTGTTTGATCCCTGGGTCAGGAAGATCTCCTGGATCAGAAAATGGCAACCGACCCCAGTATTCTTGCCTGAGAAATCCCATGGGCAGAGAAGCCTGGTGGGCTACAGTCCATGGGGTAGCAAGAGTCAGACACGGCTTAGTGTCCAACACATTTATCCAACTAAAACAGAACCTCCTTTAATTATTATGTCAGAATTCTTTGTATCTAAGTAGATTTTGAACCTCGTTTCAGTTTTCTTTAAATTCTGTTATTTTTAACATAGATTTTCAGTATAAACCACTCATTTTTATAAGAGTAATAATATTTACATAGCCATATTTGAGATAAAAGTAAAGTAAGGTAGAAGTATGAAGGAATGAGATGAAAAGGGGATTACAGCTTTTTCGTTATGTAGAAGTTCCTGGCATCTTCAAAGAAAACAGGTTTGACTGAAAGCATAGTTAAATTAAAGAACAGTTCGTTTTAAATAATAGGAGAATATTCTAATGACTTAAAAAAAAACAGAAGGGTACCTTGAAGGGATTTAACATTCTCTATACTTGGATGTTTTTTGGACTAAAGCAGCCAGCTGGGATCTTCTTGGCCCAGGGATCGAACCCAGGTCTCCTGCTTTGCGGGCCAACTCTTCATCATCTGCCACCAGAGAAGCCTCATATATCTGGTTATCATAAGTCATCTTTAGGGCTCTCTGTACTATGTAAATTCATTGTTTTCTTTGTCTTTTCCTTCTTCAGTACTTCTCTCAACATTTTACCTTAGACTTATCTAATTCATAGGTTATTCAGGTGTTTGTTTTTTTTTAACATTTAAAGAATTTTTAAATTCTTAAACAAGGGATTTCTTTAAAATAGAAGCTTGCGGAAGAAAGAAAAATCCAATCACTTTCATATAAAACTTTTCAAATAGTAGTCAAGTTAAATTTAACTTTTAGCATGGACAGGAAAAATTAACTATAGAATCTGTTGTTCCACAGGTACTGTGAGAATAGAGATGTTTCGAAATATGCAGAATGCAGAAATCATCAGAAAAATGACTGAAGAATTTGATGAGGTATAGCATTTCACTGTTTATACAAATTGCCTGCTTGTACTTGTAAATGGTGAATATGTTGATTATTTTAAGTTTTGTTTTGACTTGGTACTTAGTATAAGAGAAGTTATAGTATTTTCTCATTTATGTGATAATCCATGCTGTTAATTCCAAAATGAATCATCTTTGGAAATTTTATTACATTGCATTGAAATAGTAGCACTGAATAATGACCGATGGCTGATAATGATTGGAAAATTAATGGTATGAGGTATGAGTTGATTCTTGACATTCATTCTTGAAGACCATCTAAAATCCTGAATTGATAAATGCACCTCCAACAGCTTCATACTCTGTGGAATGCTACTTAAATATTTTAAAGAAAAAAGGGTTTGGAGGTCAAGGAAATGTCAGAAGGCTGGCTATTACACCTACCTTAGATCTTGTCAAAGCACATTATCTTATTTAAGGTTATTAGAAATCCTAACAATGAAAAATTTCCTAAATTTAATCTGGAATTCCCCAAATTATTTCATATGGATCCCTGCCACTGACATGTATCCCCCTGCCCTCCCCCGCCCCATTTCCATTTTCTGTGTGTGTGTATAGTACTCCATTTGGAACACTCTACTTGAGATAATCTGATTTCTATTCAAAATACACGTTTTCTTTGCTAGTTTTCATGAGTTAATCATGCATGATTTTCCATTTTAAGACTTAAATATTCTCTCAAGCAGTTTTACACGGGTCATAAATGTTTATTTTTGAGACACTTTAACAATTTTATTTCTTTATTTATAGTGAACTCAATTCATGTCAAGCTTTAGGCCAGCATCAGTTCCTGTTTTAACATTCTGCCTTTGGTATTATTTTCTGTTTTCTTATAGGTGTTCCTTTGTTTTGACCTTCAACACTAACCACAAAGATTGGTTTTCTTATAAGTCCACTCTTTTAGTAAGATGGGTTTAGGTTTTTTATTAATAGTAGCAGTAGTATTTATTTTTAATTGAAACTAGTACTACAAATACATAGTAAAGTAAATATTCAAGCATAGGCTGTTCAATGTGTTTTTCTCATCAGGTGTTCACCTTTAGCAGCAGTATCAAAATGTTTTCATGTGCATCTTTCTAGATAAACGTTCTGTCACTGGCTTTCAGACTGTGTAGTCACAATTTATGGGACATACGGAAGACCTTGAATTGTAACGTGTGGACATAATATTTCAGAATCACTTGCCTATATTTCTGTAATCTCAAAAAGCTCTGAGTTCATAATCCAAACTCTCAGGTTTGGCTCTTAGGCCACTTGGCCTCAACTAACATAAGGCTGCTGCTGCTGCTAAGTCACTTCAGTCGTGTCTGACTGTGCGACCACATAGACGGCAGCCCATCAGACTCCCCCATCCCTGGGATTCTCCAGGCAAGAACATGAGGCTATTTACAGTCAATTTTTATTTCTCACAGTTTGAATATATATATATGCATTGCTGTTAAATATTAATGTTCTTAACTACAGAGTGCTACACCAGATTTTATTGGGGTATGATGAAAAATATAAGGTTATGCACCAAGTTCACTTTTAAAATTTAAAAACCCTAGATTCTGAAACATTTCTGTGGGGCTGCTGTTCAGTAAAACATATTTTTTTGTTGTTGTTAATACATGAGTTTATATGTTAGAAATAGAAGCTAAAGCCAGGTAACATACAGTTAAGGTGCAAGTAGTAGATTTACTCACCAGCTACTATTCTACCATGTGTGGCCTGCAATACAGATGATTCAGATTGTAGATTTAAAAGTGGTATATGTCTTGGACCTTCCCAGGACTAACACATGATGGAATGATTATTAAGTATTTTAAGACAGTAGTTCCCAAACTAAATTTAAGCTGCAAATTAATGTCTCACTGGGATACTGATGCCAGGCTCCCTTACACATGCCCTAGACATTTGATTAATTTGTAAAGCATGTGACCTTGGCATAGGGATTTTTTTAAAAAAAGCTCACCAGGTGATTTTAACATAGAACAGCTATTGTTTGAGAAATATTATTCTAAGGTAAGTAAAAAGAGGAATCCAAGATTTAAGTTAAAAGAACACTTCATACATGAAAACAGGCTGAGGGGAAAACAAAAATGAATACAGTGTAACAAATGAAATTATTCAGAATGCATGTTTCATATTCTTAAACATTTTGTCTGAATATTTGAGATTATTGACCTAATCAAAGACTTTTAAAAATCAGCATTCTGTTTGAATACAATTCTGTTCTAATATTATTTTGATTGTTATTAGAATATATTAACTTAAAGCAGAATTAGATATCTCCCAGGGCTATATAAAAGTAAATAAATATAATTGTGATGATTAGAAATTTTAATAAATATATTAAGTTTCAATTTTAAATATCTATATAATACTTTTAATTAGGTGGCTTAAAACAGTGTCATTAAAAAAATAGGATGCTTACTCATGTGCTTGAGATTTTCTTGTATAACCAATTTGAAAAATAAAAATTTGAACTCAGAATAATGAATAAATAAATAAACACACAAACAAATATACAAAATTTCCAGAGATGATATTAGTGAACAAGATGTGCCAGACCTATTTGACAATGATAATTGTCTCCAAGTATGACAAGATTTAATGAAGCAAGAACAAGTGGAAATTCTGTTTAAAGGTGGTATTGTGTTTTGGAGGGACAGACTATGTATTTGCAAAAGCCATTGATGATGCAGAGTGGTAAGACTTATGAGCTCAGTCCATAATAAGCGTAAGTGGGAGTGAATCACACATTGTTCACTGTAATGAATTCAATGAAATTATAATTAAGATGCAGATAACAAAAATTTTTATCTTCAATTCTTTAGAAAGATATTAATCTTTTGCTGCTATGTATATACTTGAGAATGCATTTAAATGCTTGCATATTATTAAAGAAACAGTTTTTTTTTTTTTTGTTAAATACTGAATAGGTCATTTAATTCCTTGGGAGTGGAAGTAGGTTAGTTTTTAAATTATGATTTGTGATAAAATTCTGCAATATCTGATGAAAGGAGTCATTGGATCCCAAGATCCTAGAAAAACGCCTAGTTAGTAGAGAAAAGCCACTAAACATCTGTTGAATGAATGACTGAATATGTTGCATTACAGTGAAGTGAAGTAAATTAAAGGTGAAATGAGGTAGAAGTCATTTCAGTTGAAACTGTTTAAATTGAAAAAAGTGGTCGAGTATGTTTTTGCCTGAAAAAATAGTATGCTGTAGCTTCTATTCCTTATTACAAACTAGTCATACCCAGTTATTACATGACCTCTTTTGAAAGCCCTACAAATCTCTACCTGACCAAAAGTCTTTTATAATTGTAATAACAACCTAATTTAGAAATATGTTGATTCCCAAAGCAGTCTATGACTCTTTAGGGTCAGTAGATATACTTGGTTCCTGGTGGAGTCAGTTGTCATGAGATAAAGCAAAATGTAATTGTATTTCTTCCTGAGATTATTAGAATCAGATCTCCATATATAAATTCTTAGATATGGTTTCTCAAAGGTCAGTTTGTGTAGTTTTCAAATATTTAAGTAAGACTTCTATGTTGGGGAATCTTTGCAACAGAACACATTTCATATTCAGCTGACCCTTGGACAGCGTGGGTATTGGTTACTGTAATGCCTCTGTAGCTGAAAATCGTCAATATAACTTTTGACACTCCCAAAAGTTAACTACTAATACCTTATTGTTGACTGGAAACTTTACCAAATAATATTAAGTCAGTTAACATGTATTTTGTGTTTTATGTGTAGTATATGCTATATTCTTATAATAAAGTAATCTAGAGAAAATAAAATGTTATTAAAATCATCAAAAGGGGAAAGTAAATTTAGTTTTGTGTACTACATTTATCATTACTGTAAGTTTGTCATCAGTTTACAAGGTTAATCATCCATTAGTACCTATATCAGTATTGTCTTATATGATACAAAACACCATAGTAGGTCTTACATATATAGCTAACACTAGACGTCAAAAATGAAAAGATAATGTGAATAATTCATATTGATTTATAATTATGGTTTATGGGTGATGATGAAGAAGGCAGCAATATATAGTTGCTTTTATATTAGCCTAGCGTAACTGATAAAATTGTTTCACAGTAGCCTTGCCTTTACACTAATGAATGAATTGTTATAAAATTTTTACAGCATACAGTATTACTGTCATATTTATAATATGCTGTTGGAAACATTTTTTAAAATCACGCTGATAAGTAGTTTCAGCTCATATATAGCTGATACAAGATATGCTGATACATAGTTTCTCCAGCTATATGAGAGATAGTGTGTCATACTATATAGTATTGTAACTCTTTGAAAGCAAAGTTCTAGAACATTGTGTAAAACATATCACTCACCTTATGCTTGTCTTGCACACAGAACATAATTCAACACTTAAGGAATGATGATGGCACAAGAACTCATACAGTTCTTGCCATAAAAAGATAAAGATAGTGCTCAGGTAGTGTATGGTGTGGTGACTATTTGCTGTTCCTTAAGTGGAAGTGAATCATCATAAAAGTCTTTTTCCTCATTATCTTTACATTGAGTACGCTGAGGAAGAGGAGAGTTTGGTCTTGCTGTTTCAGAGATGGCAGATGTGGAGGAGGTGGAACAGTAGGCAGGAAAACAGGCATATTAAGTGTAGTTTTATGCAAATACATCATAATTTCTGTCTGAATTTTGCTTTTTCATCTGTATAAAAATAATTCTATATAATACCAAACCTTCTTCCACCATTCGCTTTAGTTTCAGTGCCCTATAATAAAAGGGTCCTTGTAAAAGAAGTTAAAGGTAGTGTTTGAGTAAGATTTTCTAATGTTATTTGCTTTTTGGAATTGCTTCTTCTGTGTGTTCTTCCTCATATTGTACAGTACTGGTTTGGAAGTGCTCAACTCTATCAAGTCATCTTCTCATAATTCCTTTGGTGTAGTGTCTGTTAGCTCTTGATTTCTCCAAGATTCGTATCT